AACTCGTCATAGTAATACAAATATATGATTCACATTACTTATCGACTAGTTTTTTATTTTATAGCCAAAGGACATTTTAATAATGGAGGACATTTTCTCGTAGGACTATATGTCAAAAGACTATTTCTAAAGGACTTTTTGTAGAGAGGACATTTATAACACCGGACATTTTCTAAAGGACCAAAACTGTAGGACATTTCGTCCAGGACATTTTCTAAAGGACATTCTTGACGGATACCATTATTACCGAGGATGAGCGGTGACCATGGGGAAATTCTTAGGCATATAACCGGCGGAGGATTATAGTTGATTGAAAAGTTGTAATTTTAGCCATTTACAGTTCTGATTTTATTTCATAATAATTAGATCGATCGTTTTGATTATGACTGATTATAAATAAATTATAGTTCATGTGGAAGTCCTATTTAGTCGATTTAAATTTTGATTTCATTACGTGTAATTCTGAATATACTCTAGATTGAAAGTATACAAAAATGAATTAGAAATTAGTTATAATGAATTAGAAATTTTTTTCGCTTGAAGTCAAACATTCTCAAGTATTCATTCGTATTTCAATTGGAACCCAGTACATTAGACTTTTTAATACATGTACTTTTCACACTTTGACGAAACTAGTCGTTGGTATAACGTTAACAATAACAGAAAATGTTTTTTTATATTCATATAATGAAAGCATGAAGTGATAACTACTACCGATCGAGCATTTCTGACTAGGATTGTACAGCTTACTTGTCTCATCGAATAAAAACCTTTTGGTAATCTCTACTATCCAAATTGATTTAGCAAACAAAGACATTAACGATTTTGTATCTACCGACTCGGACATATAATTAAAAAACCCTTTTATTATGAGTTAAAGCCAAATATATTTGTAGATTTAAAGAAACTTATTACGATTATGAAAATGAAATCTCTCAAAACCTTATTATTCATCAATTCTACTTCTTATTATTGGCGTCCTCATACAATTATTGATTAATAAATCTTAGCGAAAAACTGTAGCTTTTGGAAAAATAATTAATCCTTATTCCAAACATATATGATTTTGTCTCAATAGGTTTTTTCTGAGGCAACTCTTTTCACACAGTCAGATATAAACTATAAAGATAGCTTTTTAGACTCTATCAATTATTAATGTGGAAAATAACTAAAAAGACATATAAATGATCAAAATCTAAATGTCTGATCAAAATCAACTCTTTTACTAGATTCACTCATATATATGTATTTGATGTTCAGCACAAGACTAGTCTTTTGATGACGTTAAACTTAGCCGACATATCATACTTTTTCAATTCTATTTACTAATAGACATAAAAAGATAGAAACGCAGCACAATGTAACAAGCAGCAGTTCGAAACATATGCAAATCAAACCTATTTCAATTAATACTTTCTGTCATGATATAAATTTTAGCATTAATGCAATGCTTTTAGAACATCATATGCGGACAATAACTTATTACGAGGGCAACGATTTTAAGCTCTATGTAGCATAAAAAAAGTTCATTTCTCATGTTTTTATGGTATATAGTAATTTTCATGTTATAAACAGACAAAAAATGCTAATTTAAAACAGAGTATATCTATACATTCTATCTTCTACCGTCAGAATGCAACTTTTTCGTTCAGTCTAGTTTGAGAAGCTAACCTATCAAGAGTTGACAAATTCTTTTATGCCACGTCCATTATTTGTATATCATCTCTCGAATGTCATGAGTTTACTATCGTCTGTAGAGTAATTCAACCTGAGCTCTTTCGATTGTCTTTCCCTTTCTATACACTAGAAATAGTGTACAACAAATGATACATAAAACAAAACTAATTTGTACATAAATTAAGTTGAGTCGATTAGAAAAATGAGGAATTATATAGTGTTTTCTTTATTTGAACTCAGATAATTTCAATCACTACTGAAGACACTTTTAGTAGGAAATTTTTTATCAAAATATTTTGCAAAAATACCCACTGCATCATATTTGTACCTTTTTCTCATTTTTGTATCTTTTATATTAAGGTAAGATTGGGAATCAATCACGCATAGTATACAAGAAAACAAACGAAATAACTAATCCTTCACCTAAATAATAATAAATTTCCACTATAAATATAGCATATTCTCAGAAAAAAAATCATGCGATGATGCTACGACTGAAATCATCTTGACTAAAAAACAAAAGTTCATCGTTAATATAGAACCATCTAACTTTTCCAGTATTTCATCAGTGTAGAAATAGACGTTTTGTTTTGTTTTAACATATACACCGATATATGTATTTCACATTATGTGATGTATTTACCTTCGCAAAACCATGCGCATTATGGATGTTATATAATTTCAGTGTGCAAATTGTGATAAAAAGTATACAAAAAAATATAAAACTAATGAAACATAAATGAAAGCAAACAGAACAGAACAAAAAAAACATAAAGAAATATTTTAAATCCCCGTCTGCGCTGCAGATTCTACTATCCATTTAAAAAAGAAAGAAAGTGATGATCAATTAAATAACTTGAGAATTGTTATATAAAAGTAATTAACCGTAGTTACTTATATTTTAAGTACTCGAGTTTTAAAAATGTTACTTTCCTATAATAATGTATGAGAAATATATAAGCTTGGGATTTTTAACTAATTTTCATATGAAATTAAATTTTAATATAGTTATTGTACCGTAATTGAAGTATATACATATTGAAGAAATGATGAAGTGGTGATATAAATTCTGTATTTTAACAAAATTACAATTTGACACATCGTACAATAAATCAAACACACAATATATTAATACAAATTTCTAACTGTCTCTTTACTTTCTTTCGCCACTTTTTTGTATGCATCAACTGTCTTTCGTCATATAAAGAGATAGATAGTGTGTATAAACAAGGTCTCAACGGAAGAAACGTGTTGGATAACATGATATACTCAAAATATAAAGAGACGAAGCATATAGATCAGAGATCAAATACTAAAGGCATCGTTATGTCTTAGTTCTAATGTAAAAAAGGAACTTTTCTATCTTATACAATAATTTTCAACCTTAGATAATGTAACATTAGTATTTTTAAAGCTTGAATGATAAAATTTGGAATAAAATACAAGTTAATTGGTATTCTGGCTTGATTTCTGTTCCTATTGTTTTGTGTAAAGAAGAAAAAGTTTTTATTTTTTGGTTTTATTTTTTCTATTGATTGTAAAATCTTTTTTTTATCATCTAAGTCTGGAAATGATCATACCAGATAGAAAATTTTCTATATTAAATTACTTTTATATGAAAATTAATTAAAAATCTGAAACTTATATATTTTCCAGAACTTGAGAATAGAAACAGCTAGTAAAGTCGAGTATTCGTTATTGTATAACCACGATCAGTGTACGTTGAGATATATGAGAGAAACATTCTTTCGATCAGTCGAAGAGGGAAACAGAATATTAGAAAAATCACCTTAGTAAAAACAGAATATATGATGTATTTTTGATTTCAACAGATGATTTTGATGCACAAGAATTTTTTTTATAATTCTAAGAAAACCATAAATTTCTGCGATGTAGGTGTGAATGGGACAGAATTGATACAGCCACACTCTGAAAAGTGGTTATAGGCAATATTCGAATCCATTTCAGTCGAGTATCAAGCGAGCCGTTGTGGTGAACGTTATTTGTATTTACCAAAATGGTAGCATTTTAGATTTAAAATACAATGATTGAATAAAATATGCCTGCATAATTGTTCAAGACTAATTCAATTATGCGAGGAAGATTGAATTGATAATTATTTTACTTTCATTTGTACACATTTCAATTGTATTTCTGTTGGACGTTCACAACTTAAAATTGTATTTTTTCAAACGACACAAGTCCCATGGTTTTCAAAATGAATAAAGTGTTTCGCTTGATAATACAAATTCGATATAAAAATAAAATAACATAATTGTATAAGCGAAAGAAGAAATTGAAACAGAGACAAAGAGTTTATGTATAAATTGATTTATTTAGTCAATATAGTCCAGCATTACATTTCTTTTCTCGAATTATGAAAATGAAATAGTAATATTCATCTTACATATAATATGTATGCAAAAACAAATTGTATAATCATTTCATTTAATTACTTTTTTTTGTTTATCACAATGATTTCTAGTATCATTTGAATAATCTTAAGTAGATACTCAATTCGTAGTCAAAAGAATCTTTCATTTTTAATATTGTCTTTGTTTATAAGAATTGAAAATCAACTGCATCTATAAAATCAAGGAATATATATGATAGGATAATGAATGTAAACGAGTAGATAAGCGTTATCAACTTAACAAGAAATCAATTAACTTATAATCATTAATAAAAGTTATATTAAGATATACAGTAATTATACTAAAAATTTCGCTCTCTTTCTTTAATTTTATAAGAAACAAAAGTCTAACTTTCTTCGAAGCAGTTAAATAACTTTCAGGTTACACATGGATTTTATTCTATTCTTCATGTTAGAATCTTTTCATTCGTAACCACTTTTTAAATGACTTGATAGAGTGATTCAAGTAGCCTAAGACTCATGTGATCAGATGGTTACATAACTTCGCAATAATCATTAGTTCAGTAATGTGAGATAATTGAATAACCAGCCCACACAAAGGTAACGTTTATAAATAGCTCTAGAACAAACCATTTTAAACAAAGTTTTTGTACACCATTGTATATTAAATTCAACTATATAATTCGATATGAACTTGAATATCAACTATAGTTACGAGGTAAAACGAACTGAAATATGATTTGTTTGACCTGCACAAACAAATCGATATTAAGGATTAGTATAAAAATAAGAACGAAAAAAAATCCAAATATTTACGCAGCATATATATATATATATAAAATAAATGAACATAAAGTGAGAGAAAAAGAAAAAGAAATTTTCAAATTATTCAGTAGATGAGCACAAGACACTATTGTTGCTTACATTCTATTATATATAATACAAAAAAATGACTATTTACTATTTTTATTGTTTAATTATTTATTTTTGTTCATTTTCTTTGATTTATACAATTAATGATGATAATACATGGCCATGGAAAAAAACTAACTATTTATTTCGATCAAATTGGTCATCATTATTAAATCCTAATAATAATAATAATAATAATCAACATCCCGTATGGTTTATTTTTTATTATTTAAATTATTGTGGATATTGCAAAAAAGCTGAACCTGGATGGGAAGCTGTTGCTCAATATGCAATTAGTAATAATAATTTTCTTAAAAATCTTTCTTTATTTTTATTTCAATTTAGATTGGTCAAAATATATTCAAATTGGTGCATATGATTGTGCAAGTGAATCTTTATCAATCAAAGATATTTGTCAAGATGAAAAATATCCTCAATGGCGTATTTATTGTCCATTAACAAATACAACACATTTAGCTTTTTCATCTGAACAACGAACAATTAAAACTAAACCAGAAGATATTTTAATATGGTTGTTAAATAAATTAAATAATATTGCTGATCAATGTTACGGTCAACAATGGCCAATTAAAAATTTAATTGAGTAATTAATAAAACAAAAGAAAATAGTTTTATTTCGAATTTTTCTAGGCCAAAAACAAAAGATGATTTAGATAAAATTATTCCAAAATCTGTCAATAAATTTCAATTATTCATTTCCGATGATATTCTTCTTTATACTCTTGTAAGCCATTAATATTTTATGCATCGATAAAATAAATACTTTTCTTTAGTTTGTATTGAATAATTCGAAAACTATTCAAACCGAACCAATTTATCGTTTAGCAAAACAAAATCAAATTACAAAAGATATTAGTATTATCAAAGGAATACGCGAAAACACTGGTCAAATAACTCTTCAACAGTTTGTTTATTATTATTATAGATTACTTGACTTTTACATTTTATATATTTTTAGAATCGATTCTGAACAAATTATGAAACCTTTTGTACTTGATAAAAATATAATTTCTCATTTTGAAACAATCAATAGGTAATTTATTTCATAATAATTTAAAGTTTTATATTTGTTTTTAAAGAAAAAATATAGCTACATTGAAACCGACATTATCTGATATTGATAGTGCAACTGTTTGGATGATAAATAGAGATCTTCGTCGAGGTTTACCTGATTTAACTGAAAATGTTAAAAGTTGGATTAAGACTCTTTATACAGTAATAATATATTATTTAGAAAAAGCAAAAAAAAAATCGTTGAATTTTATAGTATTATCCAGGAAGTAAAACAATGAAAAGCTTTCTATTTAATTTGAATGAATTTGTTAAAAATTATACGACATTATCACCAAATGAATATCAAACTTATATTAATTCAACATCAGTAATGAATTTAGATTAAGCCAAAAAAAAATAAAATAAAGTTGATCTTTTTCTAGATTATCAAATTACCTCAATTAAAATTTGATCATTGTAATGGATCAGATTCAAGTAAACGTGGTTATCCATGTACATTATGGGTCTTATTTCATAGTATGACTGTTAAACAAGCTATACTAGCTGAACAAAATGCATGTAAGTTCTATAGATAGAGTAATTATATAACTTTAAACTAAATGATATGATGTACCGAGTATTCAGAAAGAAAATATTAAATAAACTGCAATAAAACCACAAGACAAGAAACAGTGTGTCTTCACTACATGCAAACTATTTAAGAATAATCTATTTCATTTTGTTTACAAAAAAAATTCTATGTATTTTAGTACCATCAGATATCAAACCATCTGATGTTATTGTATCAATTCGAGAATTTATTGGTAACTTTTTTCTTTGTGAAGAATGTGTTACACATTTTGTTAATATGACAATTAATGCTGAAAATGAAATAAAGTCTCATCGTGAAAGTATTCTTTATCTTTGGCGAAGTAAACTGAAAAAATGATATATATTCTACGTTTTTTTTATCAATTTCTTGTTTAGGTCATAATATTGTGAATAAACGACTTCGATATGAAGAATATACCAATGATCCGAATTGGCCAAAAGTACCATTTCCTACAAAAGAACAATGTAATCTTTGTGTTCAACAAATAGATGAGAATGGTGATGCTACAGAATATAATGAAAATGAAACGTATAAATTTTTAAAAGAATTTTATTCATTAAATAATTCAATGAGAATTCAAACATATAACCTTATTTTATTATTTTCAATTGTCATTCTTAATATATTAATATCAAATAAATAATATAAACTCAATTATGTCTATATTCGAGATGATTGATATATACTTTATCAGTTGAATATATAACAAGCTGTTGTTGAAAAAAGTCAATATGATATTTCATCCGTGGTCTATATAATAAAAATATAAGCCCTATTAGTCAAAGAACGATTCTAAACAAATTATTGTTATACTAGTATGAAATTTCAATCTCAGTTCTATATGATCGATTTCGTTATGAAATATGATGCGTTTCATAATATTAATAATCAATATATGAAAAAACTTGTACTTCATGAAAGAACAAATCATCGTATTTTTCTCTTCTAATTCTATACATAAAAACAATGTTTATTGCTATTATAATACCTCGAATATTCTAGATTTCTGAGAAAAATACGAAACATATTTCTCAATGATAATCACAAAATTAACTTCATAAATATGTTTAAATTCCATATAATTAAATCGTTTTAATCAGATATATGCATGCAAATATAAAAACAGGTTCCTGTTATTACAAATTCGTGAGAAGACCTGGTTTTGATAATGAATAGAAAATATCAGTGTGTCGTTTTTTTGACAATATCTTTAGTTTAATTAAAAATCCGCTGTATTTGAAAGAATTATAATAAATTCCATTTGTTTACTAAAAAAAAATATCTAGGTCGTTTTAATTTTTACATATTTTTTTTTTTGATAATAAAAATAAATAAATAATATTCATATGAATAATTCCAAGGGTTTATAATAGATTTTTTCTGTAAAGTTCTCAAACATTTATAAGAGAGAATTACATTAGTTGCAACTAGTAAATAGCTGAATGCATCAAGCATAAGATAGAAGGATTTTATGATTAATATCCTGTGCATAGAATGCTGATGAGAAAAGAAAAGAATGCGAAAAAATTGCAACAACAAACTAGTTACTGAATACTAATAGTACGCTGTTTCAATATACACTAAGTAAGATCGTTCATTTATAAAAAAAATATTGACCTAGATTATCAATAATGAATAAAGTATGTCTACATCATAAGATCATCTAATTTGACATTGCTTCGTGAGTTCAAATTTTCATATGATAATGAAGGTCATTTCTGAATAATTATTTGATTTGAGTTGTGATGGTTTTGTTTTTGAATTCAGTAAGAAATCTAATCTAGTCTTAAAATAGATTATGAGACCAGATACCATTTCCTCTCGATGTATATATTTAAATATCGTTGTTTTTTTTTTTTTTAATTTCCATTTTTTCTCTCTCTTGTTCATAGATCCGGTTGATTGATGTAACGTCTACTACGAATATGACATATTGTATCCGGCGCTATTTTTAACTAAAATTGAAAGTCAAGATAGACGAGACTATAGAGCAGCATAAAAGCTATAATTTTTCTTCCGCAATTTCTTTTTTTGTAGTCAGATAGACGAGTCTAAAAAAATCTTTACCATGAAAAGTATAATTGATATCAATTTAATTGTAAGTACAATTTTAAATAATAACTGTCATATAAATAGAAACTATCTGTAAAAAATCATGTTTGTATAGAATTATCTTATACGGTATATATGTCGATATGACCCTACATATAATAGAAATAAGTTAAACCTTTTGATAAGCTTATTATTTCGATACGAATAAGCTATAGATACAGATCTTACAAAAAACAAAAGCATTTTCTTATTTTTTGTAATTCCCTGTGGAGATTTTTAACCAATACATTCATATACTAAATATGCATTAATGTTTCATTTCATAGTTATAGCTAATATTAATATTGTGTAGTATGTATTGATTTAGAAACAAAACATTACATAAAAAGACTATTGTCCTTCGAATATGTACATTATCTTGTTAGCTTTTTAGTTTCTACAATAGCTCGTCGACATCAATCAAATCATAGACTAATACATTAGAAAGGTGTCAAGACAATTTATGGGATATGTTACAATGAGAACGTTCGAAGGTTATATTAACTTCCATATTTCATAGACTCGACTAGACTATATAAAACAAAAAAAAAATAAACGATTGATGATGATAATAGATTTCAAGAATATATGATAGTACGAATGAACATTTGAACTTTCTTCTAAAAATCTATAGAATTGACTTTTTGTATAAATTAAATGATACGTCATTAATAATCTCACTCTTCTACTCTTACAAATGACACTTAATATTGAGAATAATAAAAATAACTACTTATCTACTTTTTAAAGTGATATTCAATTATTTTAAAAATATTGTTTATAGAAATTTTCAGTATAAAATATTCACAATCTAATTGAAATTGTCAAATGACGTATATGAATGACAATGAACCAGTAGGTCTTTTCCTTCTCTATCTTCTATGATTACAGCTATTAACGGCTTATGCGATATAATTGCACACGCAATGAGAAAGAAAAGGAAGTCTTTTTACTATGAAAGCTCGTCTGTCATTTCTTAGTTTACAACATTGAACAGTAACATATACGTCACTTCTGTTTGCTTTGTAAACTAGGACAAGGTAGTGTCTGACAATCAATATCTTATAATAAAAAAAAAACTAGAAGAATGTCATTGTACAGGTCAACCTTGATGCAAGGTTATCAGTGGCATTCATTGTATTTTAATATATCATCATATCTTCTTTAACATAGAAACTGTCAATGGAACAAAAAGCAACCTAACGAAGAATAATGATAGTAACAAGCTAGACACAATATATTCATTGTCTTCGTTGAAATGAATCCATCATTGTCTTGTCAGTTGAGATAGACGTAGTTGAATAGAGCAGATTCATTGATCTTATATCAGGTATGTTAAATAAATCTTTTAAGATACTTATATTGTTTTAGAAATATGTACAATAGATTTTTCTACGCGTATTTTCCTTCTTATCTTGTTGTTTTTTTTTTCTTAATATTTTTATATTTACTATTAATATTTAATCAGTAGAAGTAATCTGATTGTCAAAAATCACCATCGGCAACGATGATAGAATATTTTTCTAATAAAAATTCATTACGACAACATAACACACCTATATATAGGATGCGCCAAACATTACACATCCTTCTACATGACAAGATCAATTTTACCATATACGCCTCAGGCATATCTATGACCATAAACCGTATGTATTCATTCGACTACACTTGTGATATACCTCTTCATATCAATAAATGAACAATAGTCCTCTCGACTTTCTTTTTCTGTCACTCATTTCCTTTAACTACTAATTGTCCTCCGTATGCTATCATATATCATCATCATCATCATCATGATCATCGTTGCATAGAACATTCGTCTGTTAATTCAACAATCGATTGTGACATATAATTAAATCGTTCATTTACTATTTTCTTGTCTATACATGTTTTCTCTATGTGTACATATAATATCAATTAGGTAACAGAATTATTTCCATATATATATATTCATTTTATTGCATAGAACAAAATATTATTATTACGATAGTCCTTTCTTTGATGTTACTCAAACGCTTCATCATATATATATATAGAAAATAAACTAGAACGATTAATGTTCGTATACATACAGAATAATTAGGAAAACAAAAGGCAACTGATCAGTAAATGACATTGATTAATGTTTTTTTTCACAATATGTGATTTTAATAACAAAAAAAAAACATGTTTATATTGTCTATGAAAAATGATGTGAATATAACCATACATAGCTTAATAAAATAGATTAGTTTCTTATTAGTTTATTCACATATATCTATATCTATATATAGTGAAGATTTTCTTTGACTAACTATTGTAATACAATGCAAAAAAGAAAAGAGAAATAAGGCATGTTCGAAATCGACCACATTTTTTTTTCTCCATCATGTATTCACTTAGGAAAACTAATAGAGAAAATTCAATCAATGATTAATCAAAGAAAAAAATCTTAGATTTATTCGTATTGATATATTATGTAAGTTTCTTTTGATCAGTATTGCTTTTATACATTTTTTTAAGTATCTTATAAATAAATACAGTGTTATTTAGTCGTATCATTATATTACCTTGAGACAAGCTTTAGTTATTTATTATTGAGTAAAAAAAAATTTTTTTTTGAAATATCATCCTAAAATTTGATTTCTCAATGGATATTTATGAAAAAAACGATACCTTTCTTTTTTTGTTTTTGACCTAAATAAAACAAAAGATAAATATTGATTGAATACCAATGAAATGCCTTCTAAGAAGCTATACTTAAGGGAAATCATATGCTATATTTGATATTTTTAACTTAACATTTCATGTCACACATACATCAGATAGTATATAATATGTTAGCTCATTTGTAATTATTACCATCCCATATTTTTTGTTTTTAAAAAAAATATGTCTTCTGTAATAGTGGATTTTTATATATCAACAAAAAGGAAACGTCTGCTTGTTTAGAAGACATCACGATATTTTTCTTTCGTTCTATCTGATATAGAAGAAGAAGAAGAAGAAGGGAACAAAAAAAAAGAAGAAAGATCATTTAATCACTGTCTTCCTGCACGTAAGGCTAGAGTCTCGGAAATCGTTGTATATTAAAATAAAAACAGAACGAACTGGTAAGATTTTGAGTTCGTACATGTCGTGTTTGCTTTCTAATGAACTTAGTACAATAACGTATTTATCTTTACGGAAGTTTGCTCTAATAGTAGCAAAAGAGAATGGTAATATCCATCTAAATACATGCAATCTATCTTTCTATTTTCATTAATTATGCATCAATGATTTTCTAAGTACGATAAAGAAACAAAATAAACGAGATAAAACTTAGTTTTGCGTTTCTCTCGTGATTATATAATGCGTAAGTATTTAGTTCGAGTTTATAAAATAAATATTATATTCGATGAAAATGATTCTTACGAGCAACAATACACAGAAAAAGAAATTTATTAAATATACCAATAGGTTAATTTAACCATATCCTTATCCAGCTGGTTCTGACAACACTCTTTTTATTTTTGTCATTTACATGTGTTGTCAAAAAAAAAAGAAGAATAAGTACTGAAATATGTGTCTAACAAACGTCTGTAAACGACAAGGTAATTCTTCGTCATCATAATATAAAAATTTCTTATTTTTTTCTTTACTCGTTGTTTGACAGATTGTAAAAGGGATTGTTTACATTTTTATTTTATTAGTTAATATAAATAATAATAATCAAGTAAGTAATATGATGATTGATAGAATATCTATTCATTGTTATCATCAATATAAATAAATGTCGTATACATATGATATATATATATACTCTTTTTTATTTATGTTGTAAATTTACGGATTTCCCTTGTTTTTTTTTTGCTTACACTGAATGTAATGGAAATCATAAGAGTTTCTTTTATTTGCCGTTAAAACGAAGCTAGTTTTATATTCCCTTGAGAAAATAACACTATAATAATGTAGAGATTTTTTACTTAATTTCAATCGATGAAAACATGCACCAGATATTTTAATGAGAACATTAATGTTCTTGACAGTTTTTACACTTCTTTTTGACGTCATTCGGAAAAATAGAATTTTGTTTGTCACATATATATTATTTTCTAGATTTTCTCATGATTTATTCTTTAAAATATTTGAGATGTCATTGAATGATACTAGTTCATTTAATTGGACATCGACGACTACAGAAAAAATTAATTCAATAGGTACTATACCACAACGTCAACAAGTACTTATCGATGCATTTAATACATATATACAAATTGGTATTGGTAGTCTTTTATTTATCTTTGGTGTTACATTCAATTGTTTAAGTTTACTTTATTTTTGTGTCTCACGTAGTTTTCGTCATACAACATTTCGACTTTATTTTTCAATTATAGCAATACTTGATACTATACGTCTATTTGAATTCTTAGTATTTCTTTTATTTGATAAAGGTTATCTTAAAGTTACATTAACATTATGTCGTTCAGTATTTTTCACAATTATGTTTACTGGGCAGGTAATTATTAAAATCTTTTTTTATCTTCTAGAATGAATAACAAAAATCTAATAGAATGCTTTTTAGTTTTCTTATTTGAAATGTTTGCTTTACAAACAACTATTCTTTTTGGTTTTTTCGTATGTTAAAATGAAAAGAATTATTCATGCAAACAAAGTTAAAGATAATTTTTCTATATTAAAGCTTTTCTTTATGCATCTGGACATATATAAAAAAATACATTATCGATTAGGATTTACTTTAGTTAGATAAACAAATTTTGGCGACAAAAAGTATAATCATAAACGTATTTATCATATATATAGTTGTTAGATATATTACTGTAATCATTCATTTACGGCACCTGGATCGTTTGAAATTTTTTTTTATGATCTATTGTATTGAAAGAATGAAAGAGAACAAGTCGTCATTTTCCTTCAGATATATTGATCTATTTATAAAGCATATATTGATATAAAGAATCTCTTGAATAATTGGCGGGATAGGACAGTAATGATCAAAACATTGAAGTAGGGTTGTCTACTTCAATGAATATATCTATAGAAAGATTCATTAGACGTTATAGATAAGGCAATTTCGTAAATTTACTCAATAAACCTAGCACTATGATGAGAAAGAACAGTACTATACTCCATAAAAAAAGAAGGCATAAAGACAAGGATATATTACTAAGTAAAGAAACAATCAGATATAAACAAATCAATACAAAACGAATGGTATCATTAGACAAAATCATCGTATGGCAATTCATAGACTTTAACAAAAAACAATCATCTAATATATTCAATTAACTTTTTTTCTATTCGTTATATCATACCTGTGTTCTATAGATGTATTTCTTATTATGAAAAAAATCAGTAATATAATATACAGGAAGCAATAGAAAACCTTTTATATTCATAAAACAAAAGATAGTAAATAATGTAAAAAGAATAGAAGTCATTCTTAGATTGATAAGTATTATGAAGAAAACAAATATTAATTTTTTCATGAAAAAATACAAAAATTAAAATTTTATTTTATTTTTCTTCAGGCTAGCATATGGTTAACAGTTGCATTAGCTGTAGAAAAATGTGTTATTATATGGTTTCCATTAAAAGGTCGTTATTGTTTTACAATGACAATATCAAAATTTGTTCTAATATTTGTTCTTTGTCTTGTTCTTTTCGCTGATATTATTTATCTTTTACCAAGTTTTTTTTCACATACCTATGAAAATATATCTATACATACATTTATGTGTGTATGGCATGGAGGTAGTGAATCATCTAAAAATCGTTATGATCGATGGAAAAAACATTATTTAACATTTAATACAGTTTTTTTTCATTCAATTATACCATCAATAATATTATTAATTGTTAATTGGTTAATATTATATAGTTTATCACGCTCACGAAGTATTCTATCAAAAATTGGTTCAATTGATGCAAAAAATGTTATGAAACGTGAAAAACAATTTAAAGAAAAAACTATTCAACTTGTACTATCATCATTTTTTGTTATTGTTACAATATCTCCAAGATATGTATTAACAATGGTAAATGCATTTGCAACTAATATTAGTAAAACACCTTTAATGCCATTATATATTTATGTTAATTTAAATACGGTATTTCGAGTTCTTGAAATGTGTAATTATTCTTTAAATATTATTTTTGCTATATTAAGGTAAAAATATTCTAACAAAGAAAAATTCATTGATAAATTTTTTTTTCTAGTGGTCGAACATCACGTTTAGAAATTCGTAAAATACTTTGGGAATGTCTTTTTTGGAGATTTAAACGTACACAATCGGATCGTAATGAAGCAAAATATCCTGCACATGCATTTCTTTTTAATGATGATGATGATGATACTGATCGATCAGTTCAATTACAAGGAACAACATATTCAGCATTAACAGTACAATTATCAAGTCGTCATAATAATCTATCGCCTAAATTAAGTAATGGAAATTATTCATTAGAATTATCTCAAACATCAGCTGGTACATCAATATTTACTTGTTGTGGTTATAGTATTGATTTATCACCGAAAACTTCACATACATCATATACAAAATCAGGATTTGAAGAATCATCATCACGTCGTTCAATAGTAAATAAAAATCCTAATCCTTTATTAGCAAAAACTGCTTCATATCCTCAATCATCACCATCATCATTAAATGATCGATTATTAAGAACACAAAAATCTGTTTGTTATCGAACAGATAATACACCTCGACAAATCACAAAACGTCGAGCTACAACACTTGTAAATTGTTCGCGTAATAGACCTTCATCTATAAATACAACAATAGTTCCACCAATTCCTACATCATTATCAAACGAAAAACTACCACCATCAGCTCCTATTATTGATATACCTTCAACATCAAACGATGAATGTAAACCAATAATAAATCTAACTGAACCTCCTATGATTATGCAAACTGATTATATTGAACCATTATTACCGGCTTATATAATTGAAACATGTTAATTTTCTTGTATTTTTTTTTATAAAAACCTGTGTACTTTTACATAGTGACTAAAGGAATGATATAAATAGAATGACGAAAAAAACAAATTTGAATTCTGTTTTATGAAAATATATATGCAATCGATTATTATGTTATAAAATCTGTAAAAATAAATATTTTCTTGTTAGATTTAAGTTCTCAAAAACAAAATAATGACACCAATCTACCTTGATATATGTTGAAGTTTGCTTTTAAAGAAAAAAGAACTACGCATTTCAGATGTTCAAGTAGAGATGTTTCTTTTTGTAAGAATGGACTTCGCGTGCAAAGTGCAATACTATTGACATAGAATAATAAAAATGATCAAAAAAACATTTTGGTAATATGTCAATATTTAATCTCGAATCTGATTAAGTCGAACTATTCAGTATAATAATTCTCAAGTTTTATTCCAGGCCAATTGAATAAAATAAGCTAAAACTAGTCTTTTCAATTGATGGAAAGAAAAAGAGAGGAAATTAACTATTTCTTTAATAAAAATATATCTAGTATGTAGATTAGTCTATTTGATTAACCATGTCTGAGCGCTTTATTGTCTTTTTGAAAGGTTCATTCGAAAGTCAGGCAATTTCCTTTTTATACTTTACATGAAATGTACCCAGACATACTCTCATTCGGAATAATTTGCGTGTAATGAATGTTAGATTTTAATAGACGAAGAAAATAACAAGAACGTTTCTACTGATTATTATTCAATTATTGATAATAGAAAGTTCTCAATCTCCCTGGAGATTAGAAACATATGGATACAATTATAATTTTTAATTTTTTTAATCATATGAGTATTTACATCAAGAAAACAAATATTAATATTAATTTTTTAATAGAAGACTATCTTTTTTATTCCGAACAGCTATACAAAAGTGACAATATGCCTTAGTCTCTTTCAGACTGTTCTAATATTAATGTATCTCTAGGGATAACTGGAATTAAAGTTCAATAAAGTTAATCGTAGATAAGTACCAAGATTTCAAGAGTGGGCGTGAATCATTCAACTGAAATAAATGGCATATTACCTATTTCCGAGACTTGTTTTTGTCCCAAAACCTATTATATTCTATCATTAAACTGAACATGAGAATATAACTTTGAGTAAAACAATCAACTACACATGCAAACAATACCTTTTAATACGGTTCAAATAGTTCTATACTATCGATACATGTACCTAGTTTTTAACAACTAATGTTCCGAAGACAGTTTTTGAAGAATATTGTTTACAATGAACTTTATTATATATAAAAAAAACTAAGAATAAAGAAGAATCGAGAAGTTAAATAACTTATTTTTAATCACAACTAAACTAAATCGTTAGACGGTTATATCTTCTTTTTTTTAAAAATTACAGTCAAATTTTATTTTTTTTCCGAATGTCCTTTTGTTGCATCACCTTCTGTATAAGCACGGCTAACTACTTTGCCTTTATCAACAATTAAATATTCTTCACGTTGTGGTCGTTCATTAAGCCAATTTCCAAGAATTTCTCTAACACCAGCTGCATAACGTGCTTGTGCATCAAGTGTTGTACCTGAATAATGTGGTGTCATAGCATGTCGTGGCATTGAACGCCATGGATGATCTTTTGCTGCTGGCTATAAATAGAAAAATAAAGATATTCATTTATTTCTCTTTGTTATTTACTTGTGGATACCAAACATCACCAGCATAACCTTCAATATGATTTGATTTAATAGCATCAACTAATGCATCACGATCCATAATTTTCCCACGTGCTGTATTAACAATATAACTACCTTTTTTCATTAAAGATAACATTTTCTTATCAAACATATGTTCAGTTTCGGGATGTAATGGACAATTAATTGTAACAACATCACATACTTTAGCTAATGATTCTACACTTGAATGATATGTTACATTAAGTTCTTTTTCAATAGATTTATCTAAACGAAATTTATCATAATAATGTAAATGAACATCAAATGGTTTAAGACGTTGTAAAACTCGAAGACCAATACGACCGGCAGCAACTGTACCAACATGTTTATTTTCTAAATCATATGCTTTATCAGCTATTTTTGCAATATCCCATTCACCATTAACAACTTGCTAAACAATACATAAATTTAGTAATTAGTTTCACTCACTGGGTTGTAACTAACAGATTATAGTTTAATTTTCTTCATTTTAACTTACTTTATAAGCTGGAATAAAGTTTCGTACAAGTGCTAATATTTGCATAACAACATGTTCAGCAACACTAACAACATTCGAGCCTGATACTTCAGCTGAACAAAAAAAATCATACAAAGAAATTTATTTTCTATTCAATAATTAATCAATCACATACCAACAGTAATTCCTATAATAAACAATAAAATTATTTGATCTATCTATTTTATATAAATAGTAATCTACCTCGTTTACATGCAGCTTCTAAATTGACATGATCTGAACCGACACCAGCTGTAATAGCTAATTTTAACTTTTTCGCTTTATCAATACGTGTTTGATCAAGATAACATGGCCAAAATGGTTGTGAGATAACAACACTAGCTTCTGGTAATGTCTTTTCAGCAAGAGAATTTTCTCCTTGTTTATCTGATGTAACAACAAGTTTTAAACGACTATCAAGTTTATTTTCTTTAATCCATTCACGTAGACCAAGTGCATTTTCTACACATCCCAAGATATTTTTATTTTTCTTACCAGCTTCACCACCTGTGAAATAAATTAGAAAAGAAATGAGTTAATTTTTCTACTCAAACCTTCATAAAGTACAACTAAAACAGTTTCTTGTCCATTTGTTGATGCATAACGTCTTATCAACGTCGATGAATTACTAGACAACACACCTTTTCTTAATATATGACTGAGCATTATTTATTTTACAATACGAACAGCTCGTCTGACTGACTGACTGATTTTATATACGCAATTATTTTTATCTTTATATGTTCGTTATTTTGCTCTATGTAGACACCGTTAATGCAAAGAAGAAAAAAATATATCAAGCCACATGCTCTATCGAGGTAAGTGCATACTGCATATATGTAACTCAATATAGTCTTTCTTTGTATTATCTTATCTATAATTTGATAAACGTCACAAGTAAAATTTAAAAAAAGAAAGAAAGTATTTATCTATCTATAGTAATACGGATAAGTATAAAATGATAACGTTTATATAAATAAACGAAGATTTTGATGTAATATTCATTGTTTCATATTGTACATTTGATAATTGTGTAGTTAAACGATGTCGATATCGATAGAATCGTTTTAAAGATGAACGAGTTGTTGTTGTAGTTTCAAGATAGTTTGCAATACAATATGAACGATCATTTTGTTCAATTCTTTCTAAATTTATTTCACAATATCCATGTTGAATTGATGCATGAAAATAAATCGAACGAAATTGATCTTTTAAATTTTCTTTTTGACAATTATTTTGAATAAAATCATGTAAACAACATAATGTTTCACGAATTTTAACACAACGAAATAATTTATCATCACAATTATATGAATCACAAAGAAGATGTTTATGACATTGATTAGGAATATGATATAAATCTTTATAAATTGTTATATTTGAACAATAACTATAATTAGTTATGGATACATTAATATTGATATCAATTAAATAATATGAATTTGATGGAATCGCTTTAATAATTTTGATTAATGTTAATAAAATGAATAGTATTAAATTTTCTATCATCATCATCAGCAGCAAATTATCTAAATAAATTTAAACTTGCATTAAATATACACAAAAAAAAGATACGTGTATGATGGAGACTGTTGCAATAAGTATCATTCTACTAAGTAAGAAAGATCATTAACTTTCTTTGAGTATTATATTGATGCGTAACACAGTCATATGATATAGAAAAGAAAAATAATTACCACTCGTACTGTTAACTCAGACAGACTCATTTCTGTGCTCAACGAAGGATAATGCTGACTCAATTACTAACACAATAAAAATGATAATAGTGATGATAACTGAAGGCGTTTATTATCTCATTGAATGATAAACAAACAGTGAAGAATTCTTATTACTTTTCAAATAAGCACGATATTATTTGGATTATTTCATACTTACATATGAATTAATCTTCTTATAGTACTGATTAATTAGCAAAAAAATAAGATACTGTAGTTATGTAAACTATTCGTTTGTCAATAGAGTACAAGTAAATGAGTAAGACTAGACTAAACTAGTTCAATAATGAATTTCAAAATGAAAGAATATATATATGTATGGTTGCATATTGACAAAGAAGGAATATAGAATAATAATAAAAAGAAATCTACGTTCGATTTTGTTATGATTTGTATAGACAAGCCATCAATTCTAATGTATTATGGGTGCTTCATCTTCTGTATACAGTTTTAACTTATCGTCTATAATAACAACAGAACAAGATTAAAAATCAGCAATGTATCTGGCGAAGAATCGTATATAAGTTGAATATTCTAATGATTATATAGAAAGAATATATGATTAATATAATTGACATCTGGCGAGTTTACTGCCCTATATATAATGAATAGACATAATGAACGTTTTATCACATTTATATATCTAGGAACGTCTATACAATTGATTAGATATATTCTTTGTTTTATATACATGATTCAGGTATTTCTTAACTACAAAATTTTCTTTTTTGATTTTAGACATACTATGTAAGTATGACAATGAAGAGAAGCTAAGAAATGTAACCTTTACAAAAAGCATACATCGAGAAATACTCATTAAATATTATGTATACATGATAGAAAAATAATTTTAAAATTTCGCTTAAATTAAAGACGGACGAGGAGTGTTTTGATCACCAAAGTAGAAAAAACAGCTTAAAAACAACCAAATAGAGTAAGAAAGGGTGATTTGGCACAATTTTTCTTTTTAGGGATCTTTTTGTAAATGATTATATCTGGATGTGGTAAAAAGGTGGAAACAAAGATTAGTATATGCGTGTAGAGAAATGTTTGCGCTATCGAATGGTATATTTATAAAAAAATGATTTAAAATAGCTCAGTAATTAGGTTTTATTGTTTATCAGTAAAATACATGGGATTGCCAAATCAATCCTTCTTACTCTATTTGATTATTTTTAAACTGTTTTTTCTAATTAGGTGATCATCTCACTCCTTTTGTGGTGATCAAAAGACATTTCTCCTATTAAAGACAATATGCCATTGTATAGTACCACCATCTATGTCTACATTGTTCTATTAACACTGCAATATATAAATTATCATTTGCTTTATTTCTTCAATGAATATTTATTATTTTATACGTTTGAATTCCTTCAACAATCCAATCGATGACATTTTGTTCAATTAAATTTGGTATTTGTTGAAAAAGTTGATAGAGAAAATTTGGTAAACAACAACGAAGTATTGAAAGTTGTTCAAGTGAAATATGTGAAATTAATCTTAGTAAAATACATTCTATCATATTACATATAAATTTTGGTATTTCAATAGTTTGTTGAGTTAGAGAATTAACATAAGATTGTTTTATCATTTAAAATAAAATGAAAAATTTAAAAATAAAGTTAGTGCGCGTAAAGCACAATTGATTCTGTTGTTTATTTGAGAAAGAAAGAAAAAAACAAACGGGGGAAAAATAATAATGATGTTTTTCTCTCTCGTATCCATATATCAACATAAAAGATGAATAGAAAAAAGAGTGTGGACAAAATGTCTGTATATATTTTACTCTTCTAATAATAATAATAGACTACAGAGGTACATAGAAAGCAAATAGAGAGAGAAACACTCGAAGAAAAAAGTGAAATATACTAAGAACACTGTTGGCCGGTTCAATATTGTTCGTAGAAATGAGTTTTCCTAACGTTCTGATGCAAGTTTTTCAGCACGAGCAGAAACATCTTCAATACCACCAACCATATAGAAAGCTCCTTCGGGTAAATGATCCAATTCACCTATTATTTAAAATATAAATCAAAAATAAATATTCCATTAATTTAAAAAAAATAATATTTCTTACCGTTTAATACCATTTTAAATCCTTTGATTGTTTCTTTAAGTGGTACTAATTTACCTGGTGTACCAGTGAAAACTTCAGCGACCTTTAAAAAAAAATACATTATTCAATAATCTAATAAAATTTTACAAAATTTACTTGGAAAGGTTGAGAAAGAAAACGTTGAATTTTACGAGCACGAGCAACAGTTAATTTATCATCATCTGATAATTCATCCATACCCAAGATAGCAATAATATCTTGTAATGATTTATAATCCTAGAATAGAAAAAAAAAAATAAGATTAAAATAATTTGTCGATAAAAATTTGATTATATTTATTTAAATAAAATTTAAAAAAAAAATTAAAAGAAATTTTTATCATTTTACTTTTGCACATCGACTACACTCATAGGACTATTGAAATAGACAATACAAGCTCTAGCGTGTGCCATAATATATCTACTGAAGTTTAGTTTCTTTTTTAAATATCTTACTTGAAGTGTTTTTTGAATACTACGTGCAACGGAATAATGTTCTTCACCAACAATATTTGGATCAAGAATACGTGATGTTGAATCTAATGGATCGACAGCTGGATAAATACCTAATTCAGCAATACCACGAGATAAGACAGTTGTTGCATCCAAGTGAGCAAATGTTGTAGCTGGAGCTGGATCTGTTAAATCATCAGCAGGTACATAAATAGCCTATTAGAAATAGATTAGTTTTGAACAAAAGAAAATTTCTTTCAATCATACTTGTACTGATGTGATGGAACCTTTTTTGGTTGTTGTAATACGTTCTTGCATAGTACCCATATCAGTTGCCAATGTTGGTTGATAACCGACGGCTGATGGAATACGACCTAATAAAGCTGATACTTCCGAACCAGCTTGTGTGAAACGAAAGATATTATCAATAAAAAGAAGTACATCTTTTCCTTCTTTATCTCGAAAGTTTTCAGCAACAGTTAAACCAGTTAAAGCAACACGAGCACGTGCACCGGGTGGTTCATTCATTTGTCCGTAGACAAGTGATACTTTAGAGCCATTGCCTTTAAGATCAATAACTTTTGTTGTTATCATTTCATGATATAAATCATTTCCTTCACGTGTACGTTCACCGACACCAGCGAATACGGAATAACCACCATGGGATGTAGCAACGTTATAAATTAACTCCATGACCAAGACAGTTTTACCTACACCGGCACCACCAAAGAGACCAATTTTACCACCTTTAGCATATGGTGCTAATAAATCGACGACTTTAATACCAGTTTCAAGAATTTGTTGTTCGACATTCATGTCAGTAAATGGTGGTGCATCAGCATGAATGGGTGCATAATCATCAGCATTAACTGGACCACGTTCATCAATTGGATCACCAATAACATTAATAATACGACCTAATGTTGCTGCACCAACAGGAATTTTAATTGGTGTACCGATATCAGTAACTGGTTGTCCACGTACAAGACCTTCAGTACCATCCATAGCAATTGTTCGAACGGTATTATCACCTTGAATAAAAGAAAAAGAATGAAATGGGAATATAAAATTTGTTTTTTTGTACCTAAATGTTGTGCAACTTCGAGAATTAATTTTGGTTGACGACCATCGACTTGAAGTGCATTAAGAATGGGTGGTAATTGTTCATCAAATTGCACATCAACAACGGCACCAATGACAGATACTACACGACCTTTGGCACCTTTAGCTGCTTGTTGACCAGATTGCGATTGTTTACTTGTTGTTGGTTTTTGTTGTGCTGCTTGTGCTGCGGCATTTCGTTTACCAACAACTATTAAGAATAATGAATTAGATCAATAAATCGATTCTTTTTTTAGAAAAAAAATTCAAATTACTGTGAAAATTAGCTGTTGGTTGATAAGTTAGTCTTGCCCATCTTGGATTAGCAAATGTATTTCGTTGTTTACCGAGTACAACTTGTGCGACACTTCCAGCTCGCCGACAGGCATGTCGAATGCCCTGCATATTTGTACAACTAAAAAATCTGAAAGAAAAAATCTAACTGAATGAATTATCCGTGAGAAGAAGATGGAGATGAAGAAAAGAAAAACCAGAGTTTACAATAGGAAAAACAACTGATAATATTCTTTAATGAGGCAAAATAATCGAGATAATGGCGATTATTTTAATTCGAGTTTTTATTTTATATTAATATTTTTATTATAAAAAGAATAAAAATTATAATAAAATATTTTTAAATATATATTAAAGAATAAATACTATAACACACTAATGCACTTCTGTTTAAAGGTTACATCGTAGTAACTGTAGAAAGATCATACACTGTAATACAATTGATCGAAGAAGAAAATCATATTTACGTATTTATTGATTGACTAATGAGATTAATAGAAGTTATAAATATAAATTTTTTTGTTTGTTTTAAAATTAAGATTTTAACTTCAAAAACTTCATCAAATATTGATAGTTGAAATAATTCAAAGAAAAGCAATACTCATCTCTATCACGGAAAATGAAATCTAATTCTCTTAAAAATATTCTCAGTAAACATGAATTTTATTATTGCATAAACAAGAAACTTGAATAATTATAGCAGTGGAAAAATTTGTTCTCATAATGTTGAAACATGTGATAAATATTGATAGGGAAAAGTCAGAATTAAAATTTTTATGATGTGTCATGTAAAAATTCAAATTCGTATCAAATAAATTGCATTAATTTACTGCTCTGATGATTTTTGTGACATACAATATCTTAGATTGACTCGTTGATCTCCAACGATCTGTCATAGTTTATTCCGAAACAAGTTTTGATGATGTATACTTGGCACTGGGTTCTTTTCTAACCCTTTCAGTCCCATAGTATAAAAAAAGCAACACATGTTTTATAATTATTTTTCATGACAAAATTTAACAAAAAGAGATAAAGATTTCAAAATATTTCCGTGACAGACGTCACTGTTACATCTTTTCTTTTTCAAGCTATAATATCATTCGAATGCATAACACTTTCTTCGCAGCACTTGACATACGATATATACATATTTTTTCCCTTGTGTGTACACATTATTTATTTTAAAAGTAAAAAAATAGTTCTTAAGAATAGAACCTCTAATGCCAAAAGAGAGACTTTAAAAAAATACCGTGATTTTATCCGATTTTTTTTCTATGCGCAGTCTTCGATCCTCTTCAAAGAAAGTATATAAAGTGGCGTTTTTGTTCAGTCTATATTTACAAAGACTAGTGTGCAATCGAAACGAAGTACTAGATTCCTCCGTAGTTTACTCATCAAATACAATTAATCTTGAAACGGATGCAAATGGATTTTAACCAAGAAAGTATAACAAAAAACTCATCTATCGATGAGAAATACAATTTTTATAATGGAAATGATAGTGATCTTGAAATTGATGAAGATAGCATGCGAGAATACGCTGGTTATTAATGGTATGTGTTTCTATAACTAAAATAAGCTGTTTTAAGAAAATATTTGAATTCAATTCAGTAAAAAATAATTTGGGCCTGAAAGGGTTAATCAGATTCAAGATAATCTTTAGAAACGAGGTGATTTTCAGAAAGAGTAGTATAAATTCACAATAAAAACAATCAGGTTAGTATATATATATATCTCAAATATAGTACATGAAAAATTAAATAGTGCCTGAATTCAATTTTATATTTACACTAAATTAAAAAATTTATAAACTTAATTTCCCGGAAAACATGTTTTGTTATTAATCATTTAATTTCTTTTTTAGTTGCCTACACCCAGTTTATTATTAATATGAAAAAGAAGGTACTTTCAAGAACATGTTCTTGAAATGAATCTTTTTTTATATCAATTATATTGTCACAAACATGATTTAAACGATTAAGTATAATATCAATTTATAGTGAAAATTCTATATATATAAATCGCTTTATTTGAGTGATTCGCTTATGCTGGTCCTGACCATTTCGAAAGAAAATTAAAAAAAAAATAAGAGCAAATTAACTAATTAACTTTTTCTACTTCTTTTTATCACTCTTCTGTGGTATGATGTTTTTTACAGCAATTGATGAGTTGACCTCTTGGCATTGCTTGAATAGATGCCTTTTCATGGTAGTGATGACGTGCTGTATTTATTATATTTCTTTACTAATATTAAAAGACTAATAAAACTTCTATGTAGGAGTACTTCTCTAAAAATGAAAACTCTCAAATTCGACGAAGCATTATTCTAAATAGTATACACTTTTCGCAGTGTTACTTAACAGTGCATTGGGAGTGCATATATTATGTATATGATAGTTTTATTTAGCAACCGGAAAACATTGCAAATAGTAATACATCTGTCAACATATAGATAAACTATAAATACAGAAGTAAAATATTTTTACAGATCTTTCTTTATTTTAGAATAAGTCATGCGCTAATATTTTCAAGTAAATATTTTTAAAAGGTTTCTATAGTATTTATAATAGATATGTTTTATTGCGTTAAAATTAATTGAAGGCTTCTTACACATGATCTTTCATTTTTTTTTATAGAATAGTGCTAAAA